ATGTCTACATGATATTTACAATTGACTCAGCAGATTAAAAGAGATGGGAATTTCAGATCATCCTTCCAGCTCAGTCCTCTGAGGAACCAGATCAGCTGCCATAGCTAATAAACTATCCCTCCACCTTATTCAAAGTATAGATGACTTAGCCTGACTCAACTTTGCATGTTTTCTATTGACACCGTCTTTATATATTATGATATATATATGTATATATACATACATATTTTAGAAAAATAAATTTTCAATTTCAAAAATTTGTTATTTGAAATAAAGATAATTTTCCCTCAATTTCATAATTTATTCCTTTTACTGCCTTCTTATAACTTCCCTGCAGACATAGTTATTCAGTAATGTGGTCTGGACTTTTTGGATCAAGAACAGGCATTTTCAGAGAGGTTCTCACTCTTTGTTTTTTGTAAAACAAAAATTTTTTGTTCCCATCTGAATGCTAGAAGCCTCTGGATGACATTTGCACCTTTGTAGATTTGAAGATGGAAGCAGTTGGCAGAGGCTACCCTTTCTTTGATAGCAACTAAATTTTGTACTGCCCTTTTTGAGGCTAATCCTCAAAAAATTGATCTCTTCAAAGTTTTAAGATGGTATCTCATTGTAGTTTTGATTTTCATTTTCCTGATACAAGTGATGTTGAACATAGCAGGAATGTAGAAGACCCAAATAAAGGATTAGGATAAAAACTAATTATAATAAAGTAAAAATCAAAATCAACAGGCAATTATAAACCAGAGACATACAAAGTGGTGGGGGAGTAGGTTCAAAACAAAGGTGGTGGGAATTTTACGGGGACTATAACCAAGATGAAAATGCATACATTGTACCAAAATGAAAAATGATGTAAAAATATATAAAATAAAAACAAAGTTGATTAAATAGGTTATAAGCAATTGCAGTATACTCTGTTGTTGCTAACACCTTTTTAAATCACTGTTTAAATTTAGCTGAATTTAACAACAAAGAATAGAGGACTACCTTTGCATTATCTGCTATACTTCTACTCTGTTTTTCCAATCAATTTAAGAAGCAGCTTCCATTTAGCATATTTTATTCATTATCTGTTGCTACTGTAACAAATGATCACAAACTTACTGAATTAAAGCAATGCAAATTTATTATTATACAATTCTGTAATTCAGAAATACCACATGTATCTCATTTTGTTAAAATCAAGATGCTGTAAGATCTGCTTCATTATTGGGGAAAAATCTGTTCCTTTGTCTTTTCCAGCTGCCTACATTCTTTAGGTCATGGCCCCCTTTCTCTACCTTCACAGTCAGCAAAAGAGGGTTTAATCCCTTACATCGCATAATTCTGACCTTCCCTTGTACTTCCTCTTCCCTGTAATTATATTGGCAACGTGGGGGTACTGGTGTGGGGAGGGATTTATTCTGCCTGCCACACATATTTCCTAGTTTTACTTAAATTAAGAACCAATAGCTCTGCCCTCTCAATTGTGTCATAACTGTTGTTAATATCTATGTACAGTTCTAGTAAAGTCTATTACATTTGATTTGATTTGTTATGCATTACTCATAATGTAAAATGCAGCATTTGCCTGGCAACACAAAAGAACATTTGTTTTTAAAATAAGAAATAATCTAGTTTCTAGATTATGATTGTAAAGAGATTTAAAATTATTACAAGTTCCTTTGCATCACCAAATTTAATATTTAAAAAAACAGCTGTGGAGGAGGTTTTGCTTTTATTACATTTTCAGTATGAATAAGTATGTCTCATTCTCCTTTATCTCATGATAATGAGATTTCACAGACAGGCTTCTAATCCAGTTCAAGTTTTAGTACTATAAGAAATGCTTTAAAAATATTACTAATAGGGGCCTCCCCGGTGGCGCAGCAGTTGAGCGCTGGGTTGCGAAGTGCCCGCAGCCTCTGCAGCGCCAGTTCTATCTCTGGCTGCTCCCCGGCCACCAGAGGAGGGTCCCACATGGCGCGCAGACCTCTCCTGCTGCCTGCTGCTCCCCTCAGCAGTGTACTTCGGTCCTTCTGCCTGCTCTGCTCCCCGCTCTGGCTCTGGTGAATTCTCTCACCCTCCTGCGCTTCTGACTGTGCCCAGTGCATGTATAAATAAATAAATAAATCTTAAAAAAAATATATTACTAATAAATATTAAAAAGTTTTCAACTCTTTTCAGTGTAGACAGTTTGAGTTGAGTCAATGCTGTTGCAGTGCCGAAATTCTTTAAGGTTCGCTCTAGATGTCATATTTGTAGCACATGTTGGCCATGTGTCTTTCTTTGACTTCTGTATAAAACAAATGTGTGAACACAAACTCTGAGAGGTTAAGTATGTTGATTTTCCTTTCTGTGCCTTAGTTTTCTCATTTGTTAAGTGGTGGTAATAATATAACAGTTTGAGGTAAGAAAAACTATGTTAGTACATGTAAACAACATAAAGTAAGTGCTTCAATGTTAGGTATCATTGTTACTGCTCTTACTAGTACTACTACCACTACTACTACTACTACTACTACTACTACTACTACTACTATTACCGCCAACAAAGCCACACAGTCTAAAAGAAACTGAGTTTATCATCAAACCACCGATATCTTAAAGATCTCCTTTACAACACTACAAAATTAAAAAAGTCTTTTTTTTTAAAAAATCAGTTATTTGAAGCCAACAAATGTAAGAATTACTTTAATATGTGACATACCCTGTATTTAAGATAGAAAGAGTAGGCCAGGGTAATGAAGACTGATAAAAGATATTAACTCTGGTCACCAGAGTTAAAGTCACATCTGCTGACAAATTTTGCATTCCATGACTGAGATGGTTAAGGATTATAATTTACCTTAATGAAACATAGTTTTCACTACTAACATGGAGATAAAAAAAAAGGAAATTCCTAAAAAGGGGATTCTGGCTAAATAATGTATCCACATGACTCATAAGTTAGAATACCCTGGGTACAATAATTAATAGATTAATTTTCTGATTATCATTTCATTATAAAAACCTTTACTTACATCTCTTGAAAATCTCTCCCAAATTTGTGAGTTCAATTTATTGACTGAATTGAATCAATATAGTTTTTTTGATTTTTCTTTCAGTTCAATTTCTTGACTGAAGTCTAATAAATCTAATTCATTTATTTCTTAGGAAATTTCAAGAATTAAATTAAATCATTAATGGCAACACAATAAAAATCAATTGCCACTGAAAAAAAATCGACAGTAAAATATATTTTATAGTTCTCCATTACAATAATTATCTTTCATATTTTTGTCTTTACTGTAAATACATATAATTTTTAAGAAAATTTATAAGCGAGAAAAAGAAAAACTTACTATTTTACACATATGTAATATACAGAGAAAATAAACAGATGATGTAATAATTTTTGGACTAAAAAATCAATAGTGCTATCAGAAGGACAGGGTGAAGAAGGATGGGCAACCCAAGAAAAGAGGGACAATGGTATGGTGAAGTACCAATTTGGACTTTTAGCAGTGAGCGTCAGATAGTATATTTATTAAGCTGATTCTTACTGACTTTCAGAGGTGAACACCTGAAACTTATATAATGTTATAATGCAATGCTATTTCAATAAAAAGAAGAGAATAAAAATCATAAAAGAGGGCCTCCCTGGTGGCACAAGGGGTTAAGCACATACTATGAAGCTATCCACAGCCTCTGCAGCATGAGTTCTATCCCCGGCCGGCCAGGGAGCAACCCACATAGCACAGCAGACCTTTCCCGCCTTGCCCGCTGCTCCCCGCTGTAGTGTATTTCAGTCAGTCTGCCTGTTCTGTTCCCCACTCTGTCTCTGGTGAATCCTCTCACCTCTCTGCATCTCTGGCCTGTACCCCAGCTCTTGTATGCATAAATAAATAAATCCTTAAAAAAAAGCAAAAGAAATACAATATTTCTCAACTTAATTTTCCTATAACTCAGCTGTAATATCTTGAAAAATGATTATCTGTTCAGTAAATTCAAATAAGCAATTACTCCAAATGAAGCAAAGTACTCTAGGCACTTTGTGAACACATACATACACACACACACACCACACACACAAACACAGAGTGTATATATATTTGTATATATATATACATATATATTCTGTTTATATATCTGTGCATATATATATATAGTGTATGTGTGTGTGTATATATATATATATATATAAATTCTGAATTATAAATAAGAAAGTCTTGGGTGAATTATAATTTAAGCTTTGGATTTAAGGTAAACAAATTCCAGATTAAGACATCAAGTAGGTAACAATGTAAGTGATCTATGCTAGAATTATTGACAACTAAATGTTAGTTTGAACAACAAGAGATATGAAATAACTTAGAAAGAAAAAATAAGTGAGAACAAAATTAGTTGACAGGGTCAGGTGGAAAATAAATAATAAGCAAATGAGCCTGAGAAAGAGGAAAAAACTTAAAAAGTAGTGTCATAGAGGAAAGAAGGAAATATTAAAGTAAGAAGTATGGTGTAGCGATAAAAGACTGCTAAGTGTAAGTTAAATGAAGTGGATTGAAGCTCACTTGCAAACTTATTAGTAAACTTTAAAAGTTTATTAGTTTAATAATATTATTAGTTTAATAAGATTATTAGATTATTAGTTTATTAGCAAACTTAGTCAATCTTCAGTAGGAAAAGGAGTTCAAAGGGGAATACCGGACAGATAGATTTATAGAACTGTCATAATTGAGATAGATTTATTTTTCTATCACAGAAGTTCCACGAATGTATCTGAAATAATATCCGCCCTCAGGCATTAATCTTATGAGTCCTAACAGAGTTTCAGGAACTACTTCATTTGGGAAGGAGAAATCTCAAAACAATTGTTTATATTTATTCATCACATTTTTCTTGCAAACTCTTAATTCCAATTAATCAAATAATTTTTGCTTCACTTTATGTTTATTTCCCTAGGAAAATCCCTATGCTCTTTTCTAATATCATCAAGGAGTTACTTGTAGCAGTTAATCCTTTCAGTTACATAAAGAATGGCACATTGTTGGAAAACAGATATAAATCCCAGTGAATCACAGGAACAGCATGAGCACCAAGAATTTCACTCTATCAATCAACTCCTTTTTCCTAGTCAAATCACTCTTGGTTTTGAACAACTAGCATGTGAGAGCAGCAATACAATTCCACTTTATCAGAATGAAACTGAAGAAAACATCCTTTTTGTTCCTACTTCTCCGAGACGGGACTCAAAAGGGCATTCATTAGATGAAATACGCCAAACAGCCGTCAATGAATTCACTTCACTAAGCCCAGAAGTCTGCTGTCACCAAGTTAGGAAAACACCTGTAATTGGTTTTAGGCCATGTGTGCTACCAAATCCTCAAAACATAAATAAAGAAAGCTGTTGGAGAAATCCCACAGGAAAGTACCATAGTGCTGAAGATTACAGAGTCAACCTTTTAGCTCCACCATCCATTAGTCTGGAAAAAATTAACTCACAGAGAGAACAGGAAAATGAAAATCATAACTACCATATTGGATTTGAAAGCAGCATTCCTTCTATATATCCATCCCTCTCAAATGACTTCATGCCAAAAGAAGAGAAGACAAGCAGTGAAAACAGAAACCCTGCAGAACCTTCTCTGATGTGCTCTAAAGGGTCTCTGTTACCCAGAACATGGGAAAGCACATGGCCAAACAATACAGAGGTATGTGTCACATATCAATCTGAAAATCCGAATCTGTAAAATCATTCAATAATGTGTTGGATTAATTTGGTAAAGAGGATATCTAACCTGAAACAGGGAAATGTATTAGTGTTACTTTTGAAAAAAAATTTTACAAATTTCAAGTTCCTGATTTAATAACTTCTTCCAAAGAAAGAGAAATAAAAATTGTACATTTTTAAAGAAAAGATGATTTGAAAATTCATATCTTCTTATTTATTTCTAAATATCCAAGTTCTCAGTCAGACCTGAAAGCACTTTAAAACAAGTCCTTGGCAACCTTTAAATTAATTTTGGTGACTGTGATAACCCTCTGGCCATAATTTTAATATCACTGTAATGTTAAAGTATTTATAGCTTATTGATAAAAATATAGGGAGGTTTAGATGATGGGGTTATCTATTCGTACTGTGTTGTTATGTACATACAAAAACACACATACAGGTCATTACATTTATATTTTGAGTCACACTTTCATGATTTAAATCATTTTATGAATTGATTTATATCTTTATTGGAAAGAAAATGTAATTTTATCCAGAGAATACTAAATTATACTGTTGGCAGCCAACTTCCATTGGGATTATTCCAAGAGTAAGAAATTAAATAATCACTGTGTAATTCATGCCAATGATTTCTTAGTTTTCCAATTATTTAAATAACCACAGACTTTTCTGGTATAGTATTTGAACATTTCTCTGCTTATTCTGAGTCTAGACACAAAAGTGAAACCAGAAGTAAACAGTAAGAGGAATAAAAGTTAGTGCAGCTGCAATTTACAGGGTGAGGAACAAAAGCATTCATCATTTATTCATAACTATTTATCATATCTTTAAAATATACATGATAGACCAGGCATAATGGATACCAAAAAAGTCTAAACATGATACCTGATTTCAGAAATAATATATCACTCCAATTGACTAGCAAAAGATGGCAGCACAGGGAGAAACAGACAGGATGAGTGCATAGGAGAAAAAGCAACTAATTCTCTCTGATGCACTTGCACAGAGGGTGGCACCTAAAACAGATCTGAATCATAAGTCAATTAATTTTAGGCACCTACTTCTAATTCTGACAGTATAACAAATACCAAACTTTCCCTACCAGCGAACACAACTACGAAGCTAGATAAAATATGTGATGGAAACAATTTCAGGCAGTAGAAAAGTGAGTGTAGAACTTTGGTCCTTGGGAGAAGAAAAACCGGTCCTCAATCTTTTGCTTTCTTCCTGAGGGCACTTTCCTATTGATATACAGGCTAGTGCAGCCCAATTTGAGCAGAGGTATCACAAAGTTGAAGACACAGAGCCTGCAATTAGTGTAGAGAAGAAGCTGTCATTTGAAGGACAGAATACTAAAGGAAGAGCTATATGAAGTAAGTGAAGGTCAGAAATATACAGGAGATTTACTGCAGATTTTTGACCAAGTAATTGTGTTTACTACACATAAATAGAAGTTATACAATACAGAAGTTCTTACACAACTAGAGAAGACACTGAGCTGATTATCTCAGGAATTCACCTGAGATTCCACAGAGCTTTCTTTTAAAAGTAAAAAAAAAAAAACATGCTTTAAAGTAAATGTTATACCCACCAGATAAATGTGGCCTAAAAAAACAATATAAAGTGTGACAAGACCAAAATGATCTTAATTACCTGCTTGAGAAAAACTATATATTTTATAGACAATAAAATCATGTGTCATAAGGGCCTCCCCGGTGGCGCAGCGGTTGAGCGCTGGGTTGGGAAGCTGCCCGCAGCCTCTGCAGCGCCGGTTCAATCCCCGGCTGCTCCCCGGCCACTGGAGGAGGGTCCCACATGGCGCGCAGACCTCTCCTGCCGCCCGCTGCTCCCTCAGCAGTGTACTTCAGTCCTTCTGCCTGCTCTGCTCCCCGCTCTGGCTCTGGTGAATTCTCTCACCCTCCCGTGCTTCTGACTGTACCCAGTGCTTGTATAAATCAATAAAATAAATCTTAAAAAAAAAAAAAAATCATGTGTCATCTACAATGTCCAATATACAATAAATGCATGTATGTGTAAAGAAGCAGGGAATTTCTATCCAAATCCAAGAAAATAACCCAGTCAATAGAAACTCTGGAATAGTGGCATTAACAGGTAGAGGCTTGAAGATGGTTATTCATGTAGATAAAGGAAAGGATAAACATTATAAGAATGATGAAAAATTTCAGGAGGAAATTAGAAGCTATAAAAAGGATAAATAAAAAAATTTAAAGATATATTTATCCATGCATACAAGAACTGGGGTACAGGCCAGTTGCGGGGGAGGGTGAGAGGATTCACCATAGACAGAGTGAGGAACAGAACAGGCAGACTGAAAACACTGCTGAGGGGAGCAGTGGGCGAGACAGGAGAGGTCTGCTGCGCCATATGGGATTCTCGCCTGCTGGCCAGGATTAAATCCCCGCTGCAGAGGCTTCAGACAGCTTCACAGCGCTGTGCTCAACCACCTGCGCCACCAGGGGAGGCCCGAAAATTTTAACACTAAAAAAAATCTGCAATGAAAAAATAGCTGGGTATACTTAAAAACAAGTAAAATAAGAGGTATACAGGGAATATACCTGAGGAAATAAATATTGTATAAAAATGAACAAGGATGTAAGAAAATAATTATTTAAAAAAAGATTTGGGAAAAAAAAAGATAGTGCTGTGTCTTAACCTCTTGGGCCACCAGGGAGGCGCCTACTTTTCTTTTTCTTTGCTGAGCATAATCCCTTCCATCTTCATCCATGTTGCTGCGAATGGTGTATCTATTTTGATTGCTAAATAGTATTCCATTATGTATATATACCACATCCTCTCGATCCAGTCATCTGTTTTTTGGAATTTGTTTTTTTTTTTTCCATTTTACCTATTATAAATAGTGCTGCAAGAAACACAGGGGTGCAGGCATCCTTCTGAATTAATGTTTTTATTTCCTTTGGTTAGATCTCTAGGAGTGGAATTGCTGGGTCATATAGAAGTTCCATTTTTAGTAGTTTGAGGAACCTCTACACAGCTTTCCATAGTGGCTGGACCAGTTTGCATTCCCACCAGCATTGTAGGAGAGTTCCTTTTTCTTCACATCCTTGCCAACATTTGTTGTTTCCTGCTTTTTTAATTTTCACCTTTCTTGCTGATATTAGCTGGTATCTCATTGTGGTTTTGATTTGCATTTCCCTGATTACAAGCGATGTTGAACATTTTTTCCTATACCTACTGGCCATTTACATTTCCTCTTTGAAGAAGTATCTTTTTAGCTCTTCTGTCCATTTTTTGACTAGATTATTTTTACCAGTAGTATTATGTGCAAATTTTTTTTCCCAATCAGTAGGATGTCTCTTTGTTTTGGTTAATGCCTCTTTTGCTGTACAGAAGATTTTAATTTGATGTAGTCCCAGCTATTCATCTTTTACTTCACTTTCTTTGCTTTTGCAGATTTGTCTTTGAAGATGTTACTAAGATGTATGTCATGTAGTGTTTTGCCTATATTTTCTTCTATATATTTATGGTTTCAGTTCTTATATCCAAGTCTTTTATCCATTTTGAGTTGCTTTTTGTGCATGGTATGAGGTAGTAGTCTTCCTTCAATTTTTTTTGCATGTAGCAGTCCAGTTTTCCCAGCACCACTTATTGAACAAACTGACCTTGTTCTATTGCATATTCTTTGCTCCTTTGTCAAAGATTAGTTGTCCATATCTGCGTGGCTTTATTCCTGGGTTTTCTATTCCGCTCCATTGGTCTGTGTGTCAGTTTTTGTGTGTCAGTTTTAATTATTATGGCTTTGTAGTATAGTTTGAAGTCAGGGTGTATGATACTGCCATTTTCCACCTTTTTGGTCATGAGAGCTTTGGCTCTTTGAGGTTTTTTTTGTGGTTCCATGTGAATTTCATCAATATTTGTTCTATCTCTTTGAAGAATGTCATTGAAATTTTCATTGGAATAGCATTGAATCTATAAATTTCTTTGGTAGGATGGCCATTTCGTTAATGTTAATTCTACAATCCATGAGCAGGGGATATCTTTCCATTTATTTGTATCTGCTTTTATTTACTTTAATAATGTTTTATAGTTTTTTTTTTCTTTGCTGATTTTTTTTTCCTTTTTTTTTAATATTAAATTTTATTTTTATATTCCCCCATACAATTGCAAACGCCCCATTCTGACCCCAATCCTTCCACTCCCGCCACCCACCCCCAAAAAGTGTCTCTGGTTCATAGTTTTTTGTTGATTTTGATTTTCACTTTCTTATATTCATTTTCCTGGTCCCTTATTTAAGTTTTCTAGATTCCTGCTATGAGTGAGACCATCCGGTATTTTTTCTTTTTCTTTTGGCTTATTTCGCTGAGCATGATCCCTTCCAGCGCCATCCATGTTGCTGCAAATTGCATGTGTTTATCTTTTTTGAATGCTGAGTAATATTCCATGGTATATATGTACCACATCTTCTTGATCCAGTCATCTATTTTTGGGCATTTGGGTTGTTTCCAAAGCTTAGCTATTGTAACAGTGCTGCTATAAACATAGGGGTGCAGGTGCTCTTTGGAATTGATGTTTCTGTGTCCTTTGGGGTAAATACCTAGGAGTGGAATTGCTGGATCATATGGAAGCTCTATGTTTAGTAGGTCCAGAAATCTCCACACAGCTCTCCATAGTGGTTGGACCAGTTTGCACTCCCACCAACAGTGCAGAAGAGTTCCTTTTTCTCCACACCCTCGCCAACATTTGTTGTTGCTAGTTTTTTTAATATGTGCCATTCTCACTGGTGTGAGATGGTATCTCATGGTAGTTTTGATTTGCATTTCCCTGATTACAAGTGATGTTGAACATTTTTTCATATGCCTGTTGGCCATTTGCATTTCCTCTTCAGAGAAGTTTCTTTTTAGCTCTTCTGCCCATTTTTTGACTGGATTATTTTCTTTGTTGTTGCTGAGTCTCATCAGCTCTTTGCAGATTTTTGTGATCAGTCCTTTATCATTAGTGTTGGGTGCAAAATGTTCTCCCAGTGGTGGGGTTTCTCTTTGTTTTGTTATTGTCTCTTTTGCTGTGCAGAAGCTCTTTAATTTGATGTAGTCCCAGCTTGTTATCTTTGTCTTCACTATCACTGCTTTGGGTGATGTGTCTGTAAAAAGATCCTTTGATGTGCAAATCACGTAGTGTTTCGCCTATATTTCCTTCTATGTATTTTATGGTTTAGGTCTTATGTCTAGTTCTTTAATCCATTTTGAGTTGATTTTGTGTATGGTGTGAGGTAGTGGTCAAGCTTCATTCTTTTGCATGTAGCGACCCAGTTTTACCAGCACCATTTATTGAACAAACTTTCTTTGCTCCAATGCATAGCTTTTGCTCCTTTGTCAAAGATTAGTTGACCATAAATCTGTGGGTTTATTTCTGGATTTTCTATTCGATTCCATTGGTCTGTATGTCTGTTTCTTGTTCCAATCCCATGCAGTTTTGATGATTATGGCTTTGTAGTATAGTTTGAAGTCTGGGAGTGTGATGCCTCCATTCCCTTCTTTTTTTTCAGTAGAGCTTTGGCTATTCGGGGTTTTTGGTGATTCCATATGAATTTCATCAATAATTGTTCTATTTCTTTGAAGAATGCCATTGAGATTTTGATTGGAATAGCATTGAATCTGTATATTGCTTTGGTAGGATGGCCATTTAATAATGTTTATTCTTTCCAATCCATGAGCAGGGGATGTCTTTTCCATTTCTTTGTGTCTTCTTCTATTTCTTTTAAACAGTGTTATAGTTTCTTTGTATAGGTCCTTTTACCTCTTTTGTTAGATTTATTCCCAAATATTTGATTTTTTGTTTCAATAACAAAAGGGGTGGTTTTTTTGATTTTTCTTCTTCAGATTTATTGTTGTGTATAGGAAGGCTACTGACTTTTGCGTGTTGATTTTGTATCCTGCCACTTTACTGAATTGATTGATGAGTTGAATTAGTTTTTCTGTGGAGATTTTGGGGTTCTCTATGTATATTAATCA